GGGATGAAGTAAAAGGGGGGGGGGGGGGGGGGGGGGGGCAGAGAAATAACTTCAGTATTTATTTGTGTTGACACATCTGTGCATTTGGTTTATACAAACATAATAAGAGTCCAGTGGGCTCCTGAACCCAACAGAACTACACTGTCCTTTATTCTTGTCACAGGAGGTCAGCATTGAAAAAGAAGACATTAGCGTTCTAACACCCAAGTTTCCTGCAACTGGCATTTCCAAAAAATGCTGTCTTTTTGCCAGAGGCAGACAAAGATTGTGAAGAGTTAGTAGATATAGATAGATAGATAGATAGATATATCACATAATGACAGTATTTGTTAATGTACCTGGTTCTCAAATGAAAATAGTCAAATGTGTCCTCCTCTTCCTGACCAAGATTTTTTTTTTAAGTTCAGAAAAGTGACTATTTCTGAATCTTATTTTGTTGTTCCCATTTTATATGTAACTTCTGTGTTCTTGTTTTCCTTCATTTTTCTTTTTGTAGCTTGGATGTGGTAGAAGAGCCGGTTTCAACAAAATGTGATCACATATTCTGCAGGTAGGTTTGAAAACTTGTAATTGCAATGCTTAGTCAATCTGTTCTTATTCTCCATGTATACTTGTTTTCTTTAGTGCTAATGATGTATACTCTGTTTTGATAACTTAATGTGTAGCTATTTTAGGGGGAAAATCAATTCTGAATAAGAAATAAATGCAGTTTCACAGATGTGTCAAAGGGGATTGATTAATTCATTGTAACATCAGAACAAGAATACAGGTATTCAGCTTGATAATGAAGGATTTCTACTAAGTGGTGCATGCCTAGGCTCGATTTCAAAGAAAATAAAATCCTCCCTTTTGTTACCGTCGTAATTATTCTTTTTCCCTAGGTTCTGCATGTTCAAACTTCTCAGCAAAAAGAAAAAAGGGCTGATACAGTGTCCTCTGTGTAAGACTGAAGTTACCAAGAGGTAATGCATCTTTGCAAGTGGACTTGAGGATGAGAAGTTTGAACTCTTAAGGAAAAGCTAATCATTGTCTTAAAAATGTCTTAGCAGAAGACAGAAATAAACAGGAAAAGGTGGTTATTAAGTAAACTGTCAGTTTCTAAAGCAGTAACTCTTTAGTGCCTTACCTCAATATTAATTTTTTTCAAGTGATTGCAGATGAAGACACCATTCTTAGCAAATGTTTGTGCTATCAAGTACAGACTGTATTATTGTTCAGTCATTACACTAGTTTCTCTGTGCTAAACCTATGTAGGGAAAAATATGAAATTTTCACTTTGTGGTAGTTTTAATTCCCGTAGTAATGGTTGTTTTGGGGAATTGTGGTGTTATTCCTTGGCAACAATTTCTCATTGTCTCATCTTCCGCTTTGGAGTTCTACTCCTTTATTTGTTCAGCCTAAATTCTAGGAAAATTATTAATAATTGACCCATACGTTTGTCTTAAAACAACTCATGTGGTGATGTTATTTCAGAAGTCTGAAAGAAAATTCCAGATTTAAGCAACTAATTGAGGGATTGTTGGAAACTATCCATGCATTTGAGCTTGACACTGGAGTAAAGTGTAAGTGTTGTGAATGTATACCCCCAGGGGTTTTTAAATAAGGTTTTGGCATTTGTATCATAATTATTTGCAGGGTATCTCATTTACTGTGCTGTACTCAATATGGGAAGAATTATAAAAAAATTTTTCTTGGATGTAGAAGCATAAGTTCCATTAAGTTCCCAAGGTTTTCCTACAATAACCTCTTGAACAGTCTTAAGGGTTTTTACTGTGCATTTGATGACTCCAGCCAATCTTATTTTCAGTTCCTGAAATACAGCTGAATGTGTACCAAATAATATTTAATCTATAACTGTGTGGCAAAGCCCTGCTCTTGATTATGCCCAACCTTGCAGCTTTAACTTCTTAGTCTAAGAGCCTGAATTAGCAAGTGCTGTAACAGTGTATGTTAACTTGTCCCATTCAGGTATATCCTTTTGGAATCCAAATTTATCCTTACTAGTACTCAGTGTCTTGTAAAGGGTATTGGCAAGTCAGGCAAATGCTTGTTTATATTTTGGGAAACAAGATGTTGTTGTGGGTGGGTGGGTGGTGGTTTGTGCATTTTGTTTTGGTTTTTTTTTTCTTAATATATTGTGCTATAAAAAACTAGACTTTCTTTTCAAATTCTTTTCAACTTGTTCAGTCATTTTAAAATCACTAGTATTGGATCCTGTTCTTGCTAGATTATCTATATAAGCAAAATTGGTTGGGAAAATTAGTTGGCAAGATCAAGATTTTACTTAATATTTGAAAAGTACTCAAAGAACAATCAGACTAATAATCCAATTGGATTTCTTTCTTTGATAATTGTATTTTAGCTGGATATGTGCCAGTTGCATAGGGTCTATGCAAGGCTATTAATGTATAATACCTGCTGTTGTGCTCAGTGTAAGAACATGTTTTTGCTTTTATTTCCTGTTGACATTTTTCAGTTTTAAACAGTCATCACTTTCCTAAAACATCCACAGAAGCCAATGCTGCTGAGTTCCTGTGTAAAGAAAGTTCTGTCATCCAAAGTAAGGGCTTCAGAAACAGGAAAAAAAGTGCTAAAGAAAATGGACAAGAAAACTGCACCTTGGTATTGTTTTTTTCCCCAATTTGTTTTTGTGGATAGTTTAGTGTTTTATTTGAAATGTGTATACATGCATATACATAAATGAATGGAATAGGAGATTTTGGTTTTCTTTCAGATCACTGTTTGACTTGAATATTATTCCAGACAAGGACATCTAAATATTTTTGTCTTCCTAACCTACTTTAAAAAGTTGTTTGTGTAAAATGACCTGAACTTAAAGATAATGTTGGTATAATCTGTTACTGAAACTAGGATCGAAAGCTTTTTTGTACTGCTTGTTTAATGAGGCTGTCTAACTATTGGTAGGCTTCTTACTTTTATAGTGATAAGACCATAAATCTGTTTTAAGAATTCTTAAGACATTACCAAACTTAAGGTGATTGCTGTGTGTATGAGATTGCTCATGGTACGTTGTTTCTTGTCTCATCTGCTTGATGCTGAATAGAAATTTACGTAAGATCAAACTGTTAAAGATTTGAGCTGTTAAATGCATGATAATTGTTTCTATTAACACATTCTATTACTGATATCAGTATGATAAATTACATGTATTGGTTTTTTGTATAGAGGCTGCCAATTTAAATACTTAGTTCAGATGTATCAGCCCACCTTGCTGTAGTTCAAATAATTACTATTTATTTTTTTGAAATAGCCTACTGTTATAAATAACTATTCCTTTCTATTCTCCTGTCAGCAGGAAGCTAATGTGAATACACAGCTTGCAGATACCAGGGTCAAAAGGCGTCCCCTAAGAAACAAAACCCAGAAATGTGACTCTGAAAAAGGGATTTATATAGAGTTTGGTAAGATCGGTTGCCCGTGCTAGTTGAGCTTACGTATAAAGCTTGCAAAGTAATAAGGTTGATGAAGTTCAAAGTCTTTATAAACACTAATTTCTCCTTAACACCCAAAATGAGAACAAAGGGACAAATGATAGACAATTCCAAGTTGGTAAATCAAAGGGTTTTTTACATAATTTATTATATTGTAGGAAGTAATGCTGCTGTAGTAAACATTTAAGGTTCAGTGTACAAGATCCAAAGAAGAGAAGATTCTTACAGGTGTGAAAAAAAGTTATAGTTGTTGTAACTATGATAACTACTGTTTTCTAAAGAATGTTAAGCCTTGTTACCAGTGCTTGAGGGTCTAGCTAATAACTAGAGATAAGAATGAATTCTAATTGAGAAAAGAATATTTCATTTCTGTCTATCTTAGCTTTTCAGAACTTCCTTATTATCTGCTGCTGACTGCTGCAAGAAACAAGATAGATGCTGTGCGTAGTTTATTTTCTCCCTGTTCCTTCAAGGAAGGAATTGCTTCTTTTAACAGATAGTGTTTGTTGCCTTTTTTTTCCCTTACTGTTTCTTCCAAGATCAATCAAAGGATCTGAGACAGATATTGAAATATATTGCTCTGACTTCCAGTTCAAAATTCTAAATACTAGCATCTGTTTCATGTATAAATTTAGAAATTGGAAACTAAGTCTTAGTTAATTAACTCTTAGTAGCTCTCTGTTACCAGTCACTGTATTTAAACAGAATTTTATGCTGGAGCTATGTAGATATTTATATATAGAAATCCTTATAATTAGTTAAAATACTGCACAACTGAACTTGATTTCATCTGATAAAAGTTGAAAGCATCTACCTCTAGAAAGAACTAAGCATGCATGCTGCTGTGATAATAAACACTGAATCTGGCAAGTCATCTTTCTCTGAATCATTTCAACCAGAGTAACAGCTGATTTGTCTTTAGGCTCTGATTCATCTGAAGAGCTTTTTAAACAGGCAAGCAATACAGGGTAAGTAAAGGTGATTAAGGAATTCATATTTTCTAAAGACAATAGTTCAGTATTCTCATTCCTATGTTTTAGTTTCTTAGCATAGGACTGATAGAATTCTTCAAGCTGACAAGTGATTTTCAATTTCGAGGGCATCAGGGTAGAATGGGTAGCTGACTCCCATCAGTTTGTCATATAATATGCTTTAAAGCCGTTTTCTAAACGTTTTGTTGCTTACACAGACATTAGATCTTAAAGAGAAAAGCATCTACTATGCTTTAGAAAGTAAATGTTAAATTCAGGAATGTGGGAGGGGATCTTTTAAAGGAATGGCCTGAAACTCTGAAGGGATCTAGTTGTGAGTGCCAATCATGCAGCCTGACTTCTCCAAAAACTATTTTGGAGAGCAAAAAGGGAAAATTAAGTATCATCTTCTGTCTATTGTGGTTTTCTCTGTAATGAAAGTAGATTTCCCTTCCCAACAGGTTAGAAGACAAAGAAGCACTTCAGATTTCATCTCAAGAAAAGCCAGAAGAACTTAAGAGTGCTGAGAAGGGGAACGAATATTCTTGCAATACACAGCTTGACAAGCTGGCTGCTAAAGAAATAATTCTACCAAATGTCATAGGTGTGTTTGTTATTTTGGTGACAAAAACGATTAAGCTTGAAAGAAAGACAAGAAGTTAACAATTTGATTTGACATGATTAACTATGTATACTTGCAGTCTTGTATGTTGTAGTTTTGTTGATGCCTACAGCTAGTGACAGTATAATACAAGACTGTACCTGTAGACTATTTAAAATGTAGGTATTCTGTGCACAGGAACAGAAGGGAAAAAAAGTAAATTTATCAACGTGCAAAACTTAATCTATTCTACATAAGCCATATTATCCTTTTTAATACAAGTTGAGAGCACTGTCTGGTAATTCATGTAAGAAGTTGGATGAACGTATGTCATATGTAATTTGATCTTTCTCTAGAAGGATATTTGTGCAGTGTAATATTCTGTCTGGGGGGGAAATAAGAACAGTTCTTTTAAAACAAAGTAGCCATGAAGCTTGTCATTGTTCTTGTGTGTGTAAAATAGGGCTCAATAATTTATAATACCTATAAATCTTCAGGTGAAAGCGATTTCTCGAAAGAAGGCTTGAGCAAGAAAAGCACTCGGAGCATCACTGAATATGCCAAACCTGGCCAAGTGAATACGACTGAATACCAGAGTTCTCCTTTAAGTGTTCTTGCTGTAGACCTACTCACAGAGCAGTCTGACAGAATAGGTAATGCCAGTCCCTTAAGGAATGGGGACACATCTTTCTTTAAGAACACAGAAGAAATGGATGCAGAGCAAACTCAGTGCAATAGTAAAAGCAAAGAGTTTGACTTAAAAGATAGCTCAGAGAGCAGGTTGGATAAAAGCAAGGGAATAGGTATTGTTGTACAAAGTGTGGAAGCTGTGGAAATGTATGAACCTGAGAATGATTCTTTCCATGAACAAGAACTTCCTCTGGAGAAACTGCTTCAGCCAGGGACGCTTCACTGTTCTACCCTGAATCAAGTCTCTAGGAAGAGACTGAGGCGAAGCATTCAGAAAGTCAATGAATGGTTTTCAAAAAGCAACGACATTCTGTCTTCCAATTCTTCGCAGGATGATTCTGCTGGAGCAACTGATATTTCAGGTGAAGGAGACAAATATTTATCAGATAAAGATTCCTGTATTTCAGAAAAGACTGACCCTATGGTAGATTCCATGGAAATTGCAGTGGTTGAAGGAAACCAGAGATGGTCAAAACAAACAGCAGATAGCATCAAAGACAAAATATTTGGGAAAACATACAAGAGAGACAGGAAGTCAAATCCCCCTGTTAGCTTGAGAGACATTTTACCTACTACAAAAAAGGAAGATACAGCTGCTGATAAGTGCTTGAATAACTCCAGCAAAGATGGACTGAAACGAAAAAGGAAGACTGTCCATGTCCTGCAACCTGAGGATTTCATCAAGAAAAAAGATATAGAAGAGGCAAATGGGTGCCCTCAAAGTGTTAACTGGTGCCTTGAAGACACTGAAAAGAAAAGATGTGATGAAAGTTCTGCTGTTAATGAGAATCGCCTCTCTGAGAATAGAGAGGATAATACACTCACAGAACTTGAGGAAGGAGGAGGATCTACATGGAAAAAAGCTATTGAAAAGGTGACTGGCAAGCACAGTGATGAGGAGCTAGAACGGAATAATTGTGATCAGAAAAGCACTAAAAAAAGAAGTTCTGCAGCAAAAAGGTGCAGGCGTTCTACTAGAACCATGTGTACTCTACAGTTAGTGGATAGAAACTCTGTTTCCCCTGATCCAGCTGAGCCACAGATTGATAGCTATCCAAGCAGCGAAGAGCCAAGGAGAGTTGATTCTCAGCAAAGACAAGTCAGGCGCAGCAGGAGGCTTCAATTACTTTCTGAAGAAATGACAAAAGAAACAGGAAAAGGAGTAGTAATTAAGGGAGCAAGAAAGTATGACAGTGACCATGAAGGGTCTTTCTTTGGAGTCCAAAGGAATGTGTTGGTTCACACTTCGGAATGCCAAGACTTGTGTGAGCCCCAGGATACATTGAGTTACAAGCCACTCGCTAATCTGAAGGGTGGTGATCTGGAAGCAAAGGAAATACAGATTAGTCTAAAGAATTCATCTGACACTGCAGAAACTGGAAAAAGTCTCTTCAATCCTACATCTTCATGTCAGCATTCAAACTGTAGTTCCTTTGCACCTGATGCAGTTTCTCAAGAAGGTGAAATACTAGGTAGCCCTTTCCTCCTGCAGTCTCCTTCAATGGCTGTTGTGCAAACTGCTTCCCACCTGGCTGAAGAGATGACTGAATCATGTACTACATTTCCATGGGATAGTGCACATGATAAACAAAATGTTCCAGGGAACTTTAGAACTGAAAAATTGCCAATGGCTAAAAATGTTTCAGAATTGACCAAGGAAGCTGAAGATAGCGAGTTAGATACACAGTATCTGCGAAATATATTTAGGCATTCAAAACGCGTATCATTTAGCCTTTATCCTACTTCGATGAAGGTGTGTGCAGTAGAAGATGCTGCTTCTGAAACTTTAAAGAGATCATGTGCTGATCAGGTAGAAAATAAGCATAGAAAATATTTAAAAACAGAAAACTTGCAAGAAGAGAAAACTGCTGAAAGCTTGAGTAGGGTTTGTGAGAAAGAGAAGCTTAAGACCTATGAATCTGCTTGTGTTAGTCCTGTGACTTGCTTTGTCAGCAACACGGAATGTATGCAGACAGGGGAACATAAAGATGATGTTTCACAGGTTGCAAATCAAGGGAATCTGACACCACTAAGAATGGATACTGCTAGGACCGAAGACAAAAACAGATCGCAAAAAGGAGAGCAGGGAAATGGAAAGGCACTGTCAACTGACACAGGGATAGAAGATGAGTTGAGACAGAATCCAATCAAAAGTAATAGAAGCCAAAGTGATCAGGATAATACAGAAGAGCACATTTTCAGAAGAATGAATTTAAACACAGTTGATGAAATATGCTTCAGTTCAGAAAGCAATCAAGCAGGAAAGGCCAAAGGTGTTGATGGAAAAGGACCAGTACTACATCTTCAGTCCAGGTCAATGATTTGTCCTGCAACTTGTCAGCAAAGGCCTGCTGAATTCAGCTGTGAAGTCATTGGGAAAAAAGGTAGCAAAAGAGAAAGAAAACAAGTAAAGGGGAATGAAGAACAAACAACCCAAACCACTAGCACAGTGATGCCTGAGTGTTTAGTTACAGAGTCTCTAGAAGAACCTCTTAAAGGGAATAGTGATTTTGCAGGTTTGTCTGAAACCCCTGATGGCTTACTGTGCTTTGATGATGATATTGAAGAGAACAGCAGCTTTTCTGAAACTGATAGGAGAGAGAGATCTGCTGTGTTTGTAAAAAGAAGTGACAATGTGCTGGTAAAAGAACTACACAATAGAAATGTTAGTTCTAAGCCAAGATCTCAATGTATTCAAAGACCTCGAAGAAGAGCGCAGAAACTGCAATCTTCAGATGAAGAATCTAGTGAGGATGAAGATTTCCCGTGTTTTCAGACATTAATATTTGGCAAATCAGTAAGCACACCTTTGCAGATCAGTAAGCAAGTGACATCTGTGGTAGAGTCTTCAGTAAGTCCCATCACATTGCCTCTCAGTGGAAGTCATGATGACAATAATATGCAGAAAATGCCTGAAGCCGCCCTAAGTAATAGGTGTGTTTCACCAAGCCAGGAGTCGGAATGCTCAGTCAACTTATTTTCTTCCCAGTCCAACGTGTCTGAAGAATCAGTTGATGGAGCACAAGAGCTGAAGAAACCTTCAATACAAGTTCATACATCCAAACAAGTGAGCAATGTGAATGAGAGTAAAGAAGCTTTTCAGAGTTGTAATGGAGGGCTGAAGATAAACAAAACTAACTTTAAAGATGAATGCCAAGAAGACCCAAACATGGGAGCAAACCTAGGTACAAACCAAGATTTTTATCTCTGCGGTTGTGTTTGTAATGTCATTGCATCTAGGTTTTTGGTGTTTGCATGGGAACTTTGTTCTGTATTTAGGTGGTGTTTGGTCTTTTAAAACAGTATATCGGCTCTAAACAATCAAACAAAAACCCTACGTGGTTTATTTCCTAAAAATTAAGTTCTTCCAGTATTCTCTGTTCAGAGCAAAAATGAATAGACTGGGCACTGGAGGCAAGACTGAGTCTGTCTGATGGGAATTAATTTTTGAGTGAAATGCTAGCTTTCTTACTGCAATGTGATACTTGCATTTATCAGCAAAATTTCATAAAGCCTACCTAAGCTCTTTCCCCAGATGAAATGTTTGTTGCAATGGGATGTAGAATTCTGTAGTGCTTGTTTTGACCTTTTTATGGCTTTCATAAATATTTAGGACTCTTTCATCACTATTGAAACACTTTGAGTTCTATTTACTTTGCCATATGTGTGACAGAGTATTCTTCAAAGTGTTCACTAAAAGTAGATCTGTGCTTCTAACTCGTGTTTTCAAAACTTGTCACTTTATCATTATAGTTAACAGTTGACTGAAAGGTCTGTGTGGTAAGAGATTATGGATGATCTTTGGTTTTGTTTGGTTTGGTTTTTTTAACTAACTCAGATTTTCTTCCACCTTCAAGGTGAAGCATCTGGATATGACAGTGAAACAAGTAATGTAGAAGATTCATGTGGACCATTCTCTCAGGGTGAAATCCTTACTACACAGGTGAGTGAGTTTATGCACTAAATTCTAAAATTAGCTGCATTCTAGGATATAAGCAAGTACATGAAAGCTGTGAAGTCAGCGTAGTGGGAAACTGCTTTAATCATAATTCTTTGTGTCACTAGATTACTTCTAAGAGCATAATTAATGAAGAATTGTAGAACTGCTTCTATGCCATTATTTGTCCAACTTTGTCTTCCATGGTAACATCACATTCTAATGGCCATAACTTGTTATGTGGTGTTGATTACAGTGCTTAATTGTGGAATATGCTAGTTAACAAATCTCCACACTTGACCAGTGCTGGAAACCTCAGCTTCCTGTATTTAAAAGCTTTATTGATAGGAATTTATAATGATTGGTGGTTAGGATTGCTACATTATGATATTTAGAAGCATGGAGACTTGCCTTCTAAGCAGAAAGTTGAAATCAAATCATTCCATATTAGAATATTATAGATACAACACCCAACAGGCAGTGTCCAATGAAAGGTACATCTAGCACAGTACGTTTTCTCTACTATTTTCTGATTACTGCTTAATGGCCTGACTTTATGTATTGGGTGATTGGCGTGGGGGGGGGTTCAGCTGGGGGTTTTGGGGTGTTTGTTTGGGGGGGGGGGGGGGGAATGTCCTCTAATTTCAAGGTAGGTCTTATGCCAAATCTCTCTCTTCAGGATTAACAGCCCTTTAGGTTTTAATGTACGTCAAGACTGAAATGTGGTCAACTGGCAGGACATTGCACGCTGATGTAGCTTCACTGATAGAGATTCTAGGATATACCTGGATTGAATGGAATAGTGGCAATATGGATTGGTGGGGAGTTCTTTGGTTTGTTATGTGGTGGGGGTTTTCCGTTTCGTTGGGTTTTTTTAATTGATTCAGTAACAAGGAAGTTCCACATGGTGCCAGTGCTAGAGCTACAAATGTAGTATTCAGTGCTCTGTAGACTGCTTTATCCTGTATGGTGAAGGTTTTTGGTTTTTAAAAGGATCCTTTGAAGCCCTGAGCTCTTCTTACAAGGAGGTGTATATGGCATGTTTTTAGTAGAGGGTATTGTAATTTTTGAGAGAGAAAGTAAGGAAGAGTAGGATGAAATATTTTATTCCTTTTAAAAAGTCTTTGGGGCTTTCAGTAATGGTGGAAAGTGCAGAGACTCAATACTTGATGTTCATTATTAAATTTTAAATTAAGTGGCTAATGCAAACTAACGCAGTTGGGACAAAATTACTTTTAAGGAAATCTGTGCAGAAGTTAGGGGGTTTTGTTTGTTTGTTTTTCCTGACTGACTAAACTCTGGTGAGCCATCTAAACTGAAATAATTTGAACAGCAAAATGACTGTGCGGTTGTTTTGGGTTTTTTTGCTTTTAACATAGTATGTGTGCATCATTTGTTAATAGTAAAAGCACCACAGTCACCTTTTGAACACATGGTAAAAAAATGATTCAAAATAATTTTGCGCTCTCTAATTTTCAAGCGTTTGTCAAAGAAATTAATCTTACTGTTTAAAACTGAGTTTGCTAATGTTGGCCCAACTGTGTATCCTTTGCAGCAGAAGAATGCTATGCAAAATAACCTTAAAAAACTTCAGCAAGAAATGGCTGTACTTGAAGCAGTGCTAAAGCAGCATGGAAGTCAGGACTGTATGTTTTTACCTATCCATAGGGAACTGCCACGTTCCAGTAATGAAGGAACACTTGAAATGGAACAAATGAGACAAGAAAGAGGTAAATAGTAATGAAAACCTTTCCCAGCTTTCTTAGGAACAGTTGTGTGACTATTACTAGTCCTTTTTCCCTCTACCACAAATTATAGTGTTAATTTAAAATGGATACGTTAGCAGAATTTTACCTAAATTCAGCTGTTCAGTGAGATATACATGCTTTATTTATAACTTGGCTACTACACTTAGTCTCAAAAACTCCTGTTACATATCTGTGTGAGATTACATGATGTGATTGTATAAATGGTGTGAGTAGGCCTTGTGGCTTGGTAGTACTAATCCATGTTGCTGTTCTGTCAGTTCTAGTTGTACTCTTGTTTTCTTTCACTGGAATGAGTAAGGGACTGGGAGAGTGGCTGAATGCCCAAAAGGACTTGGCCTCTAGTGCTGTGGTAGAAATTGTCCTTTAGCATATCAAGGAACAAGACAGAAATTAGGTTGGGTATGTATTGGCTGTCAAAAGTAATACAGTATAGGTCAGGGTGCTGATCGGCAAAGAAGAGGAGAATACCTATAGTGGTGTGTAAATCCCCTGAGTGGGACGTGAATGTAGAGTTCCTAGCTGTAGAGTGCACAAGGCAATAAATAAATAGTGAAGAATATTTTAGTAATTGCCAAAGGCTTATTGTATATTGAGGATAAAGTGAGATGCTGCCAGCTATGTAAGTAATAGTGAAACGGCTTTATTTAAGGTTTTTCTTTAAGGCAAGGCAGATGCTGAGATTACTGTTCTGACAACCTGTCTGCAACAGAGCATAGAGCATTCTTTGAACAAAGCCTACAGTAAGTCCAGATGTTCATTCTTGAACTTCTCAGTGTTCTAGAAAGGCACCCAATGCTGATTACATCCAAAGATGTAATGCTTTCTGAACTCTTAGATACTAAAATTGTACCAGTGCTTTATTATCCTACTTGCTGCTAAAAATTTATTTCTAATTCTGTTGTCTTACTTCAGTCAGTTATCTTTATTTTCTGAGGGCAGCTAGAATAACTTAACATCCTGAAATTCGAAGTTATCTAGTGTCTTATTATGCCTTTACTTGTGTATGGTTTTCACTGTGGAGTCTTTTCTGTCTAAATTCAAAGGCTTTCATCGCTGCTGTGGGTGTTAGTCAAATATCACAAAATGATCTGTAGATTGCTTTTAAATCTCCTGAATGATGGCATTGTACAGTGTGAGGTATGGACCTTTAGATTAACCTCTATCTTAAAAAAAAGTACAAAAAATGTGAAGTTTGTCAGCCAATATGGTGCATCTACACCAATACGTCTTCTGCTTGTGTGTTAGTTTTTGTTGTCAAGAGTGTAGTCTGCATCAGGAAGCTCCTTTGTGGAGAAAAGAGAGCTAAGAAAAGAAAAGTGAAGAGGTTGAGCCTTTGAAAGGTACGCAGTAGTTTGTTCAATTGATTCAAAAATCTGATGTAACAGCATCTTTCCCTGCTGTGGCTGCTGCTTTGATACCTGGATTCCTGACAGGAAAGTAGGGCCATTTGTTGTTGAAGAAACTCACTGTGATCCTCTTCTGATTTTGTGTTACTCATTTAACAGCTGCACTGTGTTTTCAGCCTTCCCTCTATCTCATCTTTTGGACATCTTGAGCCATTGAAACATTAACAGTATACTTAATACCAAGAGACTGGTTACAATCCATGCTTAGTTAACAAAGCTGGTTGAATTGCATGGCATTCAACCTTACTACAGTTTGAGAATATTTCATAGGGAAGGCTTTGGAATGTGACATTTCTAAGCATAGTAGGCCAAATTCGCAAGATTAACTACAAATAGACTGCTTGAAGATTAAGTCAGCAAATCAATGATTAGTTTCCTTCAGATGGGAAAATTACTTAAAATAATTTCATTAATACAATGCATGTTTACGTTGTTATGCTAGAATATGGATTTCTGACTCATGAAAACTTAAACTGATTAGAATTATTGATGGTTTGATTAAAAATTACAAGCATCTAGCTGTCAAATAAATGCCTCTCTACTGCTTGTGAACAGAGATATGGTAATGTGTTGAAGGGATTCATAAACAAATTGCACTAAATAGTGTAAATTTGCCTTCAGCACATTTTACATCCTACTTTTTCCACCTAATACACAGCTGACATGTTAGGTTTGTGGATGATTTAATATGTGAAATAAAATGTAGTTGTTAGCCATGTTTCAGATGGCTTACTATTTTGTGTAGATTTCTGTTTTGGGACACTTGCCTCTCTAAAGTGTATCTGGATTGAGATTTTGGAGTATGCTTGACTTCTTACCAGAAGAATCAATTAAGAACAGTTGCTTTTATTTTGCTTGTTTAAGAATTATTTTTCTTTATTGAAGGGGCAGAGTCAACCTCAGAAGGAAATTTGGAAAATCATAAATGCAGCAGTTCAAAGGGATTTTCAGCCAATGATTTCCATACTATGCCAAGTGATTCTCTCAACAGTAAAATCAAGGAGTTAGAAAAAGAAAGGTAAATTTGTTTTGTTTTGTTTTACTTTTATTTCTAATCTTGTATTAAAAAAAATAAAAAGTCTTGAAATAAACACCTCTCAGCTTTTGAGCAGTTATGATAGCTTAGCTATTGCTACATGGTTCTGATACTTAGAAGAGTAAGAAAGGTATTAAAACCGATTTCCCTCTCTCAAGGTGTCCAGAATTGTTGCTTCCATCTTCTAAATCCTGTTTGTTAAAGAGACCAGATTTGGAGAAAGCCCTTCAGTGTGACAGTATTCTGAAGAACAAAGCTCCTTCTGAAAAGACAAAACCTGTGCAGGAAGCAGTACAAAAATATAGTCAGTGTCAGCTTGAAGCAGGTAACATCTAAGAGGGATCCAACATATTTTGATTTCTGCTTTTTTCATGTTTTTACATACCAGCAAGATACAACTCTTTCTTGTAAATAATGATTTTAATTTATATATTCCTGGTCAATTTAAAAAGATGTTAATTCTTGTTTGGTTGGGTTTGTTTGGTAGCCCAACATATAGCTGCCCATCAGGATGGAGTTGGACAACATTTTGACAGTAATGGGAGTTATTACCTGTCTTACATATAAATTGGTACTTCCTGACAGATACGCTACTAAAATTTTCACCGGTATTCTGGTGTCTCAGGTATAGATTATGAAAAAGTAATGATAGAGGCAAAGATAAAGTAATAAACAAATAAGGAGAGGAAGTGACTGCAGCATTTAAACTTAAAAGGTAGAGAAACAGTCTTCCACCATGACTACAAGAAGGATGAAATTGTTTCAAGGAGTAATTTCTCTTTTCCTTCAGAAAACACAGATGAACAGAAATCTGGGACCAGGCTAAACAGTGTATCTGTCTTACCAAATCTCTCTGGAAATGTGACCAGGAGTCCAAATAATGCTTCCTCCTCAATAAGGCTTCTTAACCCTCAAACTGCAGAAGTCACAAATAGTTCTGTTGTAGTTCAGAACGCTAATAAAAGCTGTGCTCAAGAATGTAAATCGAAGAGGAGTGTGTGTTTTCCTACATCTGTTCTGCACAATGCAGCTGGGAAAGAAAATGCTACAAGTCCAGTTGTGACTAACAGGAAAGAAATGTCTGTTGTGGCTTCAGGTCTAAATCAAAGTGAACATGTAAGTATATTTCAGAAGTTTTAGAGATCACTTGTTAATTGTTCTGATTACCACTATAGTCCTCAACATAGAGAGATCTAAGTGTCCTGGAAACCAGTCTTACAGGAATGGCAGATTAGTAATAAAGCAACTCGGTCAAACTTTTTCACTCCTGAAGATATGAAGAATGCTGCCTGTAAACAGCACTAAAGCTTAGTGAAGTTTGAACTTTTTAAATGACTGCCTACTGTCTAGGGGAAAAACACCTTATTCCAAAGCAAGAGGACTTTATTTCTAGAAAGCCTTGGGGATTGGAGGGGTGGGGGCTGTTTGGTTTGTTGGTTCCCTTAATGTTCTCAGATGCTGCTGCTTTACCCAAATTCTGATCCATAGTGAGGATTTCTGTAATTAATCAATTCTGAATTGCTAATAAGCCTGTTTCTATGATCCATTTCCAGGATGATATGGCTTTTGGTTTATAAACTACTGACCAAGAGCTCTTGTTTACTTTAGCCTGTTGAATGGTGCCAAAATTATTGACTTTTAAGGAAATGTATATTCTGCATGCCAAAACAAATAAAACCATTACTTTGAAGTAACTATCTTATGTTATACTGCTATAAATTGGAGTTGTTGGGGTTTTTTAATCTGCTAGCTGTTAATTTTCTTAACTACTTTTCAGTTGATGGTCCAGAAGTTTGTGAGAAAAACTCGGAGCACTTTATCTAATCACATTACTGAAGGAACAACCCATGTCATAATGAAAACAGGTTTGTGGGGAGCTATGTGAACAAATCCTATATTTACACACTGTATAGAATTTTAACTCTAGGCTAACCAACAAGCAGACAGTTCAGCAATAAATTTTAGTAAGTCTGAGGAGAAGGTATTAATTGTTTTCTTCTCTATCATAATTTTTTAGTTTAAACTTGGGAATCTCATTCTATTTCACAGAATCAGAGTGAGGGTATGTTTTGTTTTGTTGTGTGATTTGAATTTAATGTTACTTAATTTTTTTTTTTTCCTCCAGCTGTTTGGTCACAATTTTGAGGTGCTTACAGCACATTAACATGAAGTAGTTCAGAATCAACCAAAAAGAAAGCATGATGGTCCCTAAAGAAATGGGATACAGACATTCTGGAAATAAGATGCTGTTTTGGTTTCCTAATTCCTTGTGGGGATTATAAGTGCTGTTTCATTCTAAATTTTTGAAGGAAACTTGTCTTTAATAGAAAACTGGAAGTGGGACTTAACTGTATGTATAACTGATGGTAGTTGATAGTGAAGGCATGCTTCCATAGGAACAAAGCAGCCCTACCATTTCATCGTAACTATTATTTGCGTGCTTAATTAAGGTACTTAAATTAGGCTTTGCTCTTTGGTAGACCTCAGGAATCCCATTATTAAAAGCTTGAAGGAACTTTATAGAAACTTCAATACAATACTACAGTTTCAAATTTGACAAATGTATTCTGAAACAGATGTCATTATATTGACTTCAGAAAAGTGTAACGTTAATCAGTAAAATTAAGTTATTATATTGCTGTGTCTAGGCATATGTTATATTTAGGCTCTCTACTGAACCCACCACCTAGTTTTTTAACCAACATTTTCTTAAAAAGCAAAGTATTTTAAGCCAAATCTGGGTGTGGCTATGCTATATACTATGCTTGCATTTTGCTTCATGGAAGCACTTCTAGCTGGCTCATGTTTGGATACAATCTATCACATAAGCCTTTCTTGCTTTTGAAAACCAACATAGAAAAGGAGCCAGAAAACCTTGTTACTCCAAATCTATGGACTCAATTTTTGCCTTTTTCTTCAGGAAGTGTATCATAGACACCATGGCCATATGTTTTTAGAGAGGTAGATTGTTCTGTCTTCATACAAAATACAGATAGGACAACCTGCCTTCTGAAGTTATGCCTGTTCTGGTAGAGTAGAAGATGATCTTAAATGACTAGTCACTTAAAAGTTTATGCCAACATTAGGCACTAAATCCTACTGCTAGTGTCCTCTGTCTTGACTAGTATTCATGCTTTTTCTTGCCTCTCTACTGAATAACTAAAAAAGGGTTCAGAAGCTGTACAGTGATTAGTTTCTGCTCATTTCCTTCAGTTTAGTAGAATCACGACACTAGAATTTCAGAACCTTTCTATAGATGGTCTTGATATTTTGCTGCTGCAGAGCTGCCGATAACCTGAGCTGTTTTTTTCACTAGCGGCAAAACTGGAAGAGATCTTATTCTTGTTTGCTCTGCAGATAAGGAGCTGGTGTGTGAACGGACACTGAAGTACTTTCTGGGTATTGCAGGAAGCAAATGGGTAGTTAGTTATCAGTGTAAGTATAACTTGGTTTGGAGCTAAATGGTTTCTGCCCTTCTACCACAAATGTACTCTTCATTTGTTTCAGTAAAAAAAAAAAAAAAATCTCTATGTCTTGGCATCTGATGTCTTGCAGAGTTTCTTCTAAATACTTTAAAATAAATTTAAAAATTCCAAACAAACAGCAATATCAAGCTTCTTTCACTTCTGAATACTTCTCCTGCTTTCAAATAACCACATTGGATTGTTCCCTACCCTGACAAAAGCCTTTTCTCCTTCTTAATTTAAATCTGTGAGATGCATGGCATCAGTTAGTGCAAAATTAATATTATTTATAAAAGGTAAAAAAAATTCTTTAAGTTATTTCAGGCATCATACCATATTCAGTTTCCCTTAATACAAATACCTTCAATTTAACATAGCAATGAAGTCAGACTATTGGCAGCAGAAGAACAATTTTGCTGGATAAAATGACTTGTCCTGTTCTGATCTTTTTGTTTAGGGGTAATTCAGTCCTTTAAAGAAGGAAGGATACTGGATGAGGTAGGTTTTTTTATCTTAAGAGTGAAATGTCAAATGTGTAAGGAGTGCTGTTATGTCGATAGACCTATTAGTAACCTCAGATATCGTCTAAGCATTTAATATATGGAAATATGGCACTGAAAACTGGGATTCTAGTTTTACCAAATGCTAGGACCAAAAGCCACACCTAGGCTATATGTATTCATTGTTATTGAAGGCATAAAGGGGCCCTATTGTTTTTTGGAACAAGTTATAGGCATACTTTTTTCTAAGTGTTCCTACTGATATTGATGGATTACAGCATAGAGGAAAAGGTCTGTTGTTTGCTTATGGAAATAACATTGGAACATAGCTATATTCATAGTTTTGTTTTTAAACTTTAGAATAGCCAACTACTGAAAACTTGTGCCAGCATTTACTACCTTTCCTAGTAGAAATGGCTTATTTGATATGACCCTGATTTAGGTGGATTTTTGTATTCCTGGGTAGTAGTTGGAGTTTCATTCTCTAGTACAGTTTTTTGGAGAATGTCACATTAGTGACACAGTATGGGTTTCATGTATCTAATGAGCAGAAATGCCCACTTCCTGGTATGAAATCCATGTGCCCTTTTGTCAAGCTAAGGGTGAAGAAGAAAAATCTTACCCCTTCCTAGGGCCTTTTGGGGGCTATTAAAGGCTCTCCCATGCTTGGGGTGAAAGGGGGAAGTTGCTACAGAATTGACTGGGAATGCTAGAATATGGGACAGCTGTTAACATTGTCATACGCTCTCACATTGCTTTAAGCAAGGAGAAGAGCCTCCAATTATAATGAAAACCAAAATTTTTTTTCAAGTAAACTGAAAATATGCAGCTGTTCTTCATACTCTTGTAGCAGGTTAGACTGCATGGAAGTTTTTGAGAGGTTTCAATAAAGTATTGGAGAAATGGGAGTTTGAGTCGGATGTAGGCCTGAAATTATCAAATGCAGCACTGTATTTGTTACTAATCTATATACTAAGTGAATGCCTTGAAATAAAACAAATGTTGAAGATCTAGAGGTTATGTACTGATAATTAATTTCTATCAAATGAGACTTTACTGATAAGTTAATTACAGACTTGGAGTGTGCCCCTTCTTTTATACAGTTTCCTAGATTACTATACAGTCTGACTATAATTTGTTTCTTTAAAAATTATCTGATGCTGCAGGGGTTTCATTACTGCTTTCCATAATTTTTCTTGAAAAGTCTTTTAATTCATTTTCTGCACACACTTAATTGTAAGGTTTCCAGTTTTGAAATCTGACAACTTCTTCCTGTTCTGGTGCAGAACTCTGACCAGGAAAGCGTTCTCATTCTCTAACTTCTGATTGCTTGTTATTGTTATGTTGCAGGAGAACTTTGAAGTTAGAGGAGATGTAATCAATGGGAGAAACCACCAAGGTCCTAAGAGGGCTAGACAGTCTCTGACTGAAAAGGTATGAGCACATCAGGGCTGAAAATCCTGTCCTGCTGTGACTGTTTCAGATATGTTGCTATGCTAGCTGAACATCTGGAACTTCTTCCAATTTCTCTGCTGTTCTATATATACAGAGTTTTACAAATTAAGCATTTTTATACATGAAAGGTGAGCTCTGTCAGCAGCGGAGCAGATATGCTCAAGTGACTCACTATGCTTAGAGTGAATGCTATCTTTTTATAACATCGGTATAGGATAGCACAGGGTTGCAGGTTTTTTATGATATTCTTTTCTTTTGTAGGTTACAAAGAGCTTCAGATATACTTTGAAACAGTGATAGCTTGATAACCAGTCTTAGAAGTGCAATGAAACCGGCATATTAAGTATTGTCCTTTAAAGACACTGTACGTACTCTGTTAATATGTTCCTTGTTTTTCAGATCTTTAAAGGTTTTGAGATCTGTTGCTATGGACCTTTCACTGATATGACTACAGGTGTGTCATTTTAGTGGAATTAAATGAACTCTTAGCATAAAAAAAAAATATTTGGAGGGGGATTGTGTGTGTTCACCAGAGTTTTACATTTGACCTCTTCTTGGATACTCTTGTACCTCTTTTACTCTGAAACTTTCAAAATACCTACATGAGGTATAGTGTAGGTAAAGAACTTTATCCATTTATATCTCTAGATAGAATGGAAGCGGTGTTCTATTTGGATATCCTCAGAGAACTGCTCTGGCAATTTTGCTGCATTTCAGAACAGGCCTTTTATCTAGTTTATCTCTGATTCTCTAGCAATGAAGGAAAAGCATTAATATGCTGTCTGGTAATTGCTTTAGATGCTACTGAACACTTGTATTTGAGCATTTTTTTCTTCTGTCTTAGTAAACAGTTCCTAAGTATCATTTTTCTAGCAATTGACACATCCTCAGTGTAATCTTCTCTCTCTAGCAGCAGATGTTAAAAGTGAAACACACAACAAAGCCAGAAGTTTATATACAAAGAAAGAGCTGGGCAGGATAGCTTCTTTTTGTTAGTTTAAAATTGATTAAAGTATAGTAGATGTTTTGAAAATTTAAGCTACAATTTTTCTACTTAAAATATTTGTACCTCTGTTCCCATTTTTGTGGCTTATGCAGCAGGTACTTTCTGATTTGTCTGATATAACTTTATTTTTGACTCGGTGAAATATCTTCATGTCTCTTGACATTTACATTAATTACTACAGAGGATGCAGTGCTTTCACCTGCTGCAGTGAATCATCAATTATTGCTCTTACACTTACTTATGGCTCTTAGACTTACTTACCTACTTCACTATCAATTTAACAAATTGGTGGAAATTAAATACTTTGGTTACTTTTGTTAATGAGAGATAATCACAGTTCTAACTTCTGATATGTAATTTTAATTTTGTGTCTTACATGCTTATAAGAGGAAATAAATTGTTAGTGACTTTAAGTTTTGGGTGTGTGGTGCTTTGCTTTTTCAGAGGTTTTTTGTTTTGTTTAGTCCTGACTAGAGGGTGAAGGAAGAGAGTGAGTTGATGTTCCTCAGCAGGCTAGAAAGTGAAAGGACTTATTCTTTACTAAGGCTTACATTTCTTTCAAATTAGGATAGTTTATATCTTGGAACAAACACATGAGGACTCAGGGAACAGTATCAGTTTCAATGTGATATAAAATATTGAAGTAATAGACTGTTTATTGCATTTCTTCAGAACATCTAGAATGGATGGTGGAGCTTTGTGGTGCCTCTGTCGTGAAGCAACTTCATCTGTTCACACACGCAACAGTAAGTGTTAATGAACGTTACACTTAACATAGTGAATGGTCTATAGTTATGTGATACACAGCATGTTGAAAGATTATATGGCCTTCATGGGCTTGTCAAAGACTGATGCATACAGGTATGTTAGAGAACTGTCTGCACAGTAATGATGCTAAACTGCATGGTAACAGTTCTTGTGTTCTAGGCTCTGGCCACTCTGTATTAGAAGACAGGCTAACTTGTAGTGGAAAACTGATCAGAGTACTTTATGCAAGCCAGATAGCTAATCTCTCTTGAAATCAGCACTGAGCCTCACTTGCCAGTGCAAAAAAGCCTTTAGTGCTTTAACTTAGTCACAGCATTCCTGGAGAGAGATCATAGAAAAATCTTAGGAGCTAATGTCTTTCTCCCTCTATTACCACTTCTTAAAGTCCTCCTGGAAGTGATGCACTGAAGCAGAGTTAGCCCAGTTATCACTCTCTGCAGGTAGGTGTGAGAGTGATTTAGTGACAGACAGATAACAGTAGTATTTTTATTTTCTTATCTTGAAATCCTAGAATTCTACTGCTGTTGTGGTTGTGCAGCCAGATGCTTGGATGGAAAACACTGATTATAGAGGTAAAACGACACACAGTCATGGACTGGTTTATGGTACACATTGAGTGTCTCTATCACCTCAGCCCTTTTAATAGTTAAGTATCAGGGAGGTTTGTAGAAGAATGGAAATAAAATCCTACTGCATCTGGAAATGGAGGTATGTCTTGGAAGAAAAATCTGGGTGGACAAAGTATATTATCTCAAAAATCAGCAACAGAGTCGTAAAAGGTAGTCTGGCATGCAAATCCTATTCTTGGCTTAGTTGTCCTGCATATCATCAGCTTTACAGAAACTTTTCTGATTGGAGATAGTTTCTAAAAGGTGGGAAAGCATGCCCTTGGAGGATTAGTAAAATCTAGGAGAAAGCCTCAGATGGGACAAGATTTTCTTGGTCTGGAAAGGATATCTAGCTACAAAGCATTAAACTGATATAGTTTTGCAATTTTTTTTACTTTTTTACTTTTTTTTTTTAATCAAAATGCTCCAGAGAAACCATGAGACTTTGGTGCAAGTGTTCCAGACTAACATACTTTTAAATGAGATAGTGGGAGTTAAGGGATGAATGGGAGCTAGTTAGGCTACAGTGGAGTTCAACAAAAAAATGGAGCAGGAGGATGATGTAAAAACAGCCGTTTCCACGGCACTGGGAAAATGAGAAAATAAAGAAAAAGATTCTGAAATGGTGAAGAACAGTCTGGCAGCACTTCAGTAATTTTCTGTTGCTTCTCTCTTAATGAGACTCATTGCTTGTCACATACTCAGTATGCCTGAGCAGACAGGAACTGAGGCTCTGTCACCGAGGTCCTAAATTAAAAGATAACACTGCACTCCTTGCTTTTAGTGTTTATTCTATGGTGTTCAAAACTTCCTGCCTGACCATTTGCCAAACAGCTATTCTTTTTGGAGCAGCAATATTACCTGCATTGTTAAAAGGAGTAGTAGTGCCACATTGCTGTTTTTAGACTCTTGGTTTTTATCAAGGCCTTTAAAATGTCAAAGATAAAGCAAATAGCTTAATCTCAGAGACATCAGTAAGATCACCTTAAGCTTGCTTTGACTCATTGATAACAATTTTATCACTTGTGTCTTTGTCTTACAGCAATCCAGCAACAGAGCAATGTTACCATGGTGACTCGAGAGTGGGTATTAGACAGTGTTGCTTGCTATGAGTGCCAGGAGTTTGATGCTTACCTTGTGTCCTAAGGGTGATCTGCAGTTCTTTTTCCATTGCTCAGGAATTCTCATCAGTGCTTATGGTTTAGTAATTATTTTAAGGACCAAGAATTTTAAGTCGCTTATGCAGAGATTATGTGCATGTAGTGTTCTTGCTCAGAGTAAACTAACTACATTTTTATTAACAATAAAGTTACTTAAACAACATTACCATATAAAGATGGAATTACCCACTGTTCTTTAAAGATTAACATTTCTAATTTCAAAATAGTCCTTTAAATTAATGTAAAACAAATTTTAAAAGTTAAAGTGTAGAACGTGGCCTCCTCAGAGAAATGGTGATGTATTATTTACAATTGCAGCCAGTTCCTGTTTATATACTTGACAGTTTGGAGACATTCATTTAAAAGAGTAATATTGGGCTCAGGGCTTGAATCAAAAATGTATTTGCACTCCTGAGCAACCTCCATATTTTCATTTTGCATAAATACATACCCTGAATAAGGGTGTATACCAATACAATGGAGTATTATTTTGTGATGACTAATGCATCAGCCTGGTTAATCTTAGGCCATGGATTATAGTTGTGTTGAAAACTATACAAGCAGTTCTCCTGTTGTATATCAAAATGCCAGCTTGCCGTAACCAAGAATATTATCCACAAGTACAATCCCTGAAAAGCCAACACTTGATTCTCAACATAAACCAATCCTTAAAACCACAAGCCTATACCAATGTTGTGTCAGTCTTCTTTCTGAGAAGTGTATGTGGCACTATATGAAGATATAAAAAACAGATGCACTTTAGTATCCCAGTGACCTATAATAAGCCCTATAAGAATCTGCTTCTAATAGTCCCTGCCTGCAAAATGAGACTGCAAAGAAAATAAATTTCTTTTTATGGAAGAAAATATTTTGCTTGTTTCTGTTGCCAAGCAATTCAACTTCATAAATAATTTTGTACTTTCAGAGCAGAAAGAGAACCTGTTTTCATAAAGTTATCGTTTAAAAAAAATTGTAGCTAAGTTCAGAGAATTGGTCAGTGCTCAGATGCTGCTAGGTTTTTCTTGGAAAGTTATAGAAAGTATGTTTATAAATATTGGAATGCTCAAAGGAAATAAAATTATTTTGGCAAGCATTTTACTTAATTGTTTAGCTCTTCTTAAGTGAATCGGTCACTCAGTCTCTGCATTGAGGTGTATGTGAAAAAATATCTGAAGTCCAGCCTCCTGGAATGAGGGAAGGGAGTGGAGACTTACTGGAGGAGGTCAAAAATGTAAATTAGAATTTCAGAGCTGGAATCAGAATTGTAATTTCCATCAACCTGAGAAGCAAATGTGTTATCAAGTGTCTTGCATTTGCCAAGTGGAGACAAATGTAGTCTAACGAGGCATTGCTACTGGTAGTGTAAGTGCTGGAAGGATTTGCTCAGTTGACATACATTACTGTTTTCTTCTATGTGACAATATTTAATAACTATTGAGGTTGCTCAACACAGCCTCACCTTCAGACTGATGCTCCTCTTATCTCTAGAGTCCATATTGGTTGTTTGTGGGGGTTTTTTGTTTTGGGGGGTTTTTTGTGTTGTGGGATTTTTTTTTTTATAATCTACATTTCAAAAGATAGCTGAGGGGGAACGACCAAATGCTGCCTGTTAGATGTGAGTAAAAGGCCAAGCAAGACTGTTTTGCATCTGCCATTGTGAAATTGTCCCTCAGATCTTGACACAAAGGTTGTCCTTTCTAGCAGGTAAGGTACTAGCTCCAGCTAGATAATTGTCTGTAGGAATGACGCCGGTGACATTGCCCTTCTTCCTTGGAGGTGACTAGACTGGATCTGTGGAAACTCTGTTTCTAATAAAGTAAGTATCATCTATGAACTTTTGTAGTAATCTTCATCTCGTTTAAGATTTGAATGAAGTAAAACAGTTTGACTAAACGGATAGCTAGGTAAAGGAAGGACATGCTTCCAGAGAAGTACAATTTAAGGGGAGCTGATGTGGCCTCCATCATGGAATCCATGTTGACTTCTCTAGTCTGACTTCCAGCTTTGGTAATAAAGCCCTAGCACTTAGACCTATACAGCAGCTATATGGGTTGGAAATGCCATTTTATACATGAGGATCGAGCTGCATTTCACTGTTTGCTCATATGCAAGAGCAGCTTGCTTTATGACACTTCCCAGGGTAGGAAGCCTCTGAGGTGAATGCATTTTTGAGATGGCTAGGCCATGCTGTGCCTTTTACAGTAATTACCTGGGGGTAACAAGTAGCAGAATCAAACACCATTAAGAACTAGAGAACTAGTTAAAGGGGCTGCATACAAACTGTCCTAGTAAGCAGCATGTGCCTTTTCTACTCTCCACTAGAGCGGGGAAGAAACAAAGGCAAGGCTGGTGCTTGCTGTTAGGTTTGCCTGAAGCTTTGCCATCAGTTAAGTACTGTATCTGCTCTGCTTTTGTAACTTAGCAGGAGCTTTTCTCAATGCAGCAGCATATCAGGGTCAAGTTCCAAGAAACCTGAGCTCTGCTGTTGTTCAGTGTACATACCCCCTCCCATGGTCCCAGCTGCAGGAGGAATCTATTGGACGCAGAGCTTTGAGCCAGTCTTTCTGGTCAGTACTTTCCTGACATCATGTTCAGGCCATGCTTTCTCTGAATCAGTAGGAGCCGGTGCATCAGAATAATGCTTTACTGTACAGAAGTTTTCAAAAGTACATAAGGGGGTGGGTCAACTGAATTATTTCCTTCCCCTTTTTCTTGGCTGTTAAATGCTAACTAATTCCTAATGCAAAGAGGAGGAATTTACTACTTTGGGGGAAGAAAGTATATCCTGTGCTAATGAGAGAACCTTGTACTGGGGCAGTAATAGGCTAGCTTTGTCTTGCAGCCACTGCACTAGCATTGTTGCAGCCCATCCCTTTTTCCCCTTAAGGTGTTGTTGAGAATTCTTAGCATCTGATTCTGGGTAATAGATTTTGCCTGATGCCTGGCTATGCCATGCATGGTTTCTGTTCTTTATTTCACCAAGCCTTCAGCTATGTAGAGTAGGAATCACAGCTGTAGCGTCAGGCAGGCCCATCCAAAATATTTAGCCTGAGTCCTGTCTGCTATAGCATGTGAGATCAGGCACAGCCCAAAGCTTCAGGCCCTGCAGAGGTGTTCAGGGGCTCTGTTCCTGCTTTTTCACCAGCACAAATGAATTGAAGTATTTCTGTGAGGCTGCCTTATTTTTCCAGATAAACTATTAACAAGCCATGGGGGGGCAGAAGCTGTCCAGGGCTTATTTTCTAATATGTGGGAATGGATTTCTGGTTAAAATTCATGTATGTAAATTAGGTATAGCTTTGTCTTGCATCTTTATCAGTCATGCTGATGTGGAGGCCAGCTGAGAGTAAGCAGCCTGTTACCAATTCAGACTGTCCTTTACATTTTGCTGCTAGGCAGCATGGAGTTACGCATTGACAGAGCCCACTCAGGTTACATTAATGTTGTTGGAATAATGTGTACTTGCTGTTTGTTTCCTAGCTATTGTGGAGGCTGCAGACTGAAGCAACAGGGAGAGGTTTGTGGACTGTAGGGGGTAATTAAGTGTCAAAGTAAAAATATTACTCAGTAGTTAAAAGCCCTTTGTGTTTGGCAACACTGAATTTTGAGGTAGGATTCTACTGCTTCTCAAAGTGAGTTTATGCTCCTTAAGAGAACAAACCAGCAGACTTTCTCCTGGAACATGGTGCAGTGCATCTATATCTAAAATGTTTGTGCAGTGCCTCTGATGCCTTTCTCCTAGGTATACTAGACACTTCCCACGTAAGGGGGTGAGACTGAACCGTGTTGTCACTCTTTTTCCCTCCTTGGTCCAGTTCCTTGCTCAGAACTCTTAAACATGCAAGCACAGCTGCTGCTGATGATGATATTGGAAACACCTGCATGGCATGAATGTTGAAGACTGATATGCTGGAAGAGTCCACATGCTAGAAATTCCAGCTGGGTTTGTTTAGCCTGGAGAAGGCTAAAGCAGTAGGGGGTGGGGTATAATTGAGAATCCCCTTTAATACAGCTGCCAAATTATGTCAGTTTTTACTACAACCTGAGCATGCAGGATGGTGCCAGCACACTGCTTTTTCCACCTTTGACTCTGCATCCTGATTTGTAGACTCACAGGGTAATTGGTGGTGGTGGTGGCTGTTTGCTGTGGAACACCCTTTACATTCCTGACAGGTTATGGATGGCAGCTTCTGCTCAAAAAGGAGGTGAGGGAGGCTTGTTCTCCATGCTATAATGTAGAGATTTTTAAATGCAACTACTAGCAGAGCCTTGTAGTCATTATGCATTGTAAATGAGCTTCTTTGAGGCTCGCTATAAAAAAATATTAAAGTGGCAAATCCATTTAACGTGTAGGAGGCAAAGGAAGAAGACAGCAGCTGGGATTCCCACAGCAGTCTCTGTTCTGATTGGGCTGTACAGAGATCTCCCTTGTTCTTTCCTGCTCGGGGTTGGGGGGGGGGGGGGGGGGGGCGCCCTATAGCCTGCATGCCCTGCCTTGCCACTTCACTTTGTCATTATTCTTTGGAAAGGGACTTTACTGCAAAAGTGCATCTTTAATTTATTGGAACTCCAACTTGCCTACCTCCTTCCCTCAAAGGAGTGGTAGCTCCCTGCTTATGGGACTGATGGCAGAATTTGGGGTGTGTGTTACTGTGGCACAGGGCTTCCAGAAGGAAAAGCTGGATTCCAGTGGGGATGCAGCATCGTCTGGCTGGGGTCTTTCTCTACGCAGCCCCACAGCAGAGCAAAGATTCATGAGACTTCACTGATTTATAGAGAGTGCCTGAGCCTTTTTTACGCTGGGACTGGGGCAAGCTGACTAAAGGACTGTGGACTCTGGCAAGCATGTTGTGCTGGCACTGCCTAGATTACAAGGGTCAGTCATACACAAATTACACTAAATGGTGGATCTCAAAACACTTTACAGATATGATTGATCCTTCTCTCCTGTTCCCCTTTTGCTTGAGGCTAGATATTACTGCCCCT